AAATAAATAAATAAATAAATAAATAAATAAATGAAATAAACAAATAAATAAAGTATATAGGTATGCATGCATCCATAAAGGAGTAAATAGAATATATAAAATGTAAAAAAATATTAGATGAGGCCTAGCTGCTGCTGCAGCTGCTGCTGCAGCTGCTGCTGCTGCAGCCGCTGCTGCAGCTGCTGCTGCAGCAGCAACTGCTGCTGCTGCTGTCGGTGTTTCTTCACCTTATGCATTTGCTGCGTGTGCTGCTTCTGCTTCTGCTGCTGCTTCTGCTGCATCTGCTGCTGCATCTGCATCTGCTGCATCTGCTGCTGCTGCTTGTGCATCTGCTGCTGCTGCTGCTGCTGCTGCTGCTGCTGCTGCTGCTGCATGCAGGCGAGCATGGTGCTGAGCGGTGTGCTGGAGGAGGTGTCTTCGTTGGATGCATTTCGGGGTGTACAGGCAGCTATTTGTGTTGTCTTTGATTTTGGTTTAGCTGCTGCAGCAGGCTCTCTTTCTTACTTTATAACCATGAAAAAATACAACATGACCCTAGCAGAATGGAGAAAAAAATGGGTTGCTGCTGCTGCTGCTGCTGCTGCTGCTGCTGCTGCTCCTGCTGCTGCTGCTGCTCCTGCTGCTGCTGCTGCTGCTGTTGGAGCGGCAGCAGGAGGATCGTTAGGGCCTCAACGCCGCCAGCAGCAACTGCAGCAGCAGCAACAACAGCAACAGCAGCAGCAGCAGCAGCAACAGCAGCAGCAGCAGCAGCAGCAGCAGGATGAGTTTGGTTTGCGTGTTGAGTATCTGCCTGTGCTGCTGGGTGTCTTTGAGCAGATTGCTGCTGCTGTTGCTGCTATGCATGCAGCAGGAGTTTCACATTACGATATAAAGTGCAACAATATCCTTATAGACACAACCCATGTTATACCTATACCGCAGCAGCAGCAGCTGCTGCTGCTGCAGCACCAGCAGCAGCAGCAGCAACAGCAGCAGCAGCAACAGCAGCTGCAGCAACAGCAGCAGCAGCAGCAGCAGCAGCAGCAACAGCAGCAGCAGCAGCAAACAGAACACCCACACCAAATACAACAGCAACAGCAGCAGCAGCAACAGCAGCAGCAGCAGCAACAGCAGCAGCAGCAGCAGCAGCAGGTGGTGTTTATGCCTGTAGTAGCAATAGCAGACTTCGGTGAGGCTCGGTTGCTGTGGGGGCAGCAGGAGGAGCTGCCTAGACACCCCAGAGGAACAGAGATAAACAACAGTCCAGAGATGTTGCTGCTGCAGCCGCAGCAGCAGCACACAGCAGCAGCAGCAGCAGCAGCAGCAGCTGCAGCAGCAGCAGATGATGATGATCAGCTCAGCTGCAGCAGCACAATTCTCTCTGCCACAGAACGAAGACTTGCTCCCCCTTCAGCAGCAGCAGCAGCAGCAGCAGCAGCAGCGGGAGAAAGAAGAAGAAAGATGAGCAGCAGCAACAACCACAGCAACAACCACAACAACAACAGCAGCAGCAGCAGCAGCAGCAGCAGCAGGTGCTGCTTCGGGGCTGCATGCGATATATGGTGTCTTGGTTGTTTGTTTTTTGAGCTGCTGACGGGGGGTTTATTGTTTGCTGCTGATGCTGCTTTTTATCTGCGGCTGCTGGGGCGGATCCCGCTGCTGTCTAGCAGCAAGCAGCAGCAGCTGCTGCAGAACAAACAGCTGCTGCAGTTCCTGCTGCTGCTGCTGCAGTTGCAGCCCAGAAACAGACCTGCAGCAGCAGATGTTCTCCGCATCTTCAGGTGTATGTACACCTCAGTTATAGATGAAATCATTATAAAAAATAAACACACACAGTTTGCATGCGCTACGCTGCTCGCCCCACACCCTGCTGCTGCTGCTGCTGCTGCTGGTGTTTCTGCTGCTGCGGGGGGCAGCAGGGCGGCAGCTCCTGTCTTGGGACCTCTGCTGCTGCTGCAGCAGCTGCAGCAGCAGCAGGTGCTGCTGCAACAGCTGCTGCAGCAGAGAGGGGGGGAATCGCCACGCAAAATAGCGGCTCTCACAGATAGAGTTCCGCAGCAGCAGCAGCAGCAGCGACAGCAGCTGCTGCAGCAGCAGCTGCAGCAGCAGCAACAGCAGCGCCGCCGCAACAGCACAAGTGCTGCTCTCACAGCAGCAAGACAAACAGCAGGCTTGAAACCCCCTGCAGCAGCAGCAGCAACAGCAGCAGCAGCAGCAGCAACAGCAGCAGTAGTAGCAGCAACAAGAACGAAAGCAGCAGAAGCAGCAGCAGGAACAGCAGCAGCAGCAGCAACACCAACAGCAGCAAATGTGGACCACCCGGTGCAGCGCAACGACCCGCTGCTGCTGCTGTCAGCAGCAGCAACAGAACAGCAGCAGCAGCAGCAGCAGCAGCAGCAGCAACAGCAGCAGCAGCAGCAGCAAGTCGATGTTAGCCAGCCTGTGCAGATACTGAAGGAGTTATACTTCTGCTGCGCTAGCGGCGAGCCCGGCGCAGCAGCAGCAGCAGCAGCAGCAACAGCAGCAGCAGCAGCAGCAGCAGCAATTGTGTCGCCTGTCTGCTGCAGCATTTCTGCTTCGGCCCCGCCATCCCCACACTGCATGCGCAGCGCCTTCACACACATAGTAGACTTTAGAGAGCAGCAGCAGCAGCAGCAGCAGCAGCAACAGCAGCAGCAGCAGCAGCAGCAGCAGCAGATGCTGCAGGCATCGTCTGCACAGGCCCTCCCAGTACCACAGGTGTTGGTGTATAGCGACTTTGTTGCTGCTACTAACAGCAGCAGCAGCAACAGCAGCAACAGCAGCAGCAACAGCAGCAGCAGCAGCAGCAGCAGCAGCGAGTTGTCTAGTTTGTCTTCTGCTGCTGATGCTTTTTCTCGTTTTCTACCCCGCCTTGGGGACTTCTTGAGGTCTGCTGCTGCTGCTGCTGGCACTGTGCTTTTCATTGGCCCTCCGCAGCAGCAGCAGCAGCAGCAGCTGCAGCAGCAACTGCTGCTGCAGCACCAACTGCAGCAGCAGCAGCAGCAGCAGCAGCAGGGGGGTATCCGATCTCGTAACGCAGGGCAGCAAGGGCTGTCTCCTTATCGTTCTCCTGCTGCTGCTGCTTCTGCTGCAGCAGCA